AAGCTCCAGAAATATATAAATCTTGTGTCTAATAATAATTATCACCCACCCTTCCCACACACGCACACACACACACACATCCACGCACCCACACATCCACACATCCACACGATTCCACACGATTCCACACACACACACCCGCACACCCTAATCTCTATACATGTATCACACGCACATATGCACATTCTAAACCTGTTCTCTCCGTGTCTTCAATGATATCAGCAAGGCCCAGAACATTACAGTCTGCCCAGATTGACGTTGCTCCCCTCAGGAGCCTGCGAGACGAGCTTGAAGCACTCGCTCAAACGTGAGGTCCGATTAGCAGACACTCTGGCTCAACAAGCCCTCAATTTGGTCTTTACTATCGCATAACCCTAACCCTTACTTCATCTACATATATCTTCGTACAATACATCTCCTTCATCCGGGTTACTAGTCCCTAAGCATCCTTCAGAGTACAGTCGCGATTTCAGGCATCTGCCGAAACGAAGTTGAGGTTGATACGGCAACTTCGTCCTCCAGGGTACAGTTGCAATTTCTGGCATCTGCCGAAACGAGGTTGAGGTTTATACAGCAACTTCTCCATCAACAACAATCACTCCTCTTCATGCTCAGTGCCTATGTCCAGCTCCATTCCCTCCCCGTCCCAGGACCAGCCTACACCTACCTCCATCCCTTCTCCACATCTATCCCACTCTGCTGTCTTTGTTCTGTCACTCGTGTCATCATCGAGTGTGGCTCCAGCTGGAAAAGTGCAGACAAAGTTCATGCTCAATACTAGGCTCTACTCTGGATGTACAGTCCAGGCTGTTTTCCCCCATCACCAGACAGTGTTTACCTGGTGTGGAGCGAAACAATACACTCATTGCAGAGTTTTTCCATGCTTGGAGGCCCAATTTTAGTGCTCGAGAAGAATGGTCCATCTACTCTTTCTGAGTTTCGCTGTGGTGACCCTATAAAATAGAACCTCCCCTTCCCTCTGGGTGCTCTTGAAGGGTTTGGGATGATTATCTACACTATCTCCCCCTACACTTTACTTAGTCTACCTCTAGTTCATCTGATTCTACTCCATATACTCTGATATTTCTTGACTCTGCCTCTACTATATCCCCAGCTACGAAAGCTATAGGTACACATACCTCTGCTAATATATCATATGGCACACAGTCTTATCTACTTGTATCGAAATCCTAGTGAAAACTTTATTACTTCTGGTAATGACTTGCCACCTCTTGCATCAGTATTTAGGGTTAAAAACTTGCAAGCGGTTGCGAGGGGTTGTGCAAGCTTGTACAACCTGAAAAAGCCTGAAAGCTGGCAACCGGATCAGTAAACGCGAAAAACTCGCAAGTACAATGATCCGCTCATATTTTATCTCCGGCTTCATGAAGATATGAGTCCTGCTCTTCAGCTAAAATATTGTTCTTAACGTAGATTTTGGTTCTCATATCTGCACTTGTGAGGTTGCCAGGTTGCATGCCAGCGGAAAACCGGCTGCAAGGGCCGAAAGTCCGCAAGTTTTTTCCCCCATTTGCTGATGTGGATCTCAATCTTAATGGTGAGACTGTACAATACAGACCAACAAACATATGTTGGTACTGTTTTTTGCTCAACACAGGGCAATACATTTGCAAATCACTTTTTGTGCTTTGCTACCGAGGCCTGCAAGAATGCTGATGCAGTGCTTAGTATTGAATCCATGGTAGGTTCCCTACCCCCGGAAATTGCTAAGCTACTGTACTCAGCACAAGTGGACCCCTTTCTCATCAATGGGTGTGATGTTATGCTGGACCTTCAGCCTAATGGTTTCGATCAACTGGTGGAGGTCCAGAAAACTTACTTACGATGGGTTCTGGAATAACCACTCAATTCTTGCACCTCTGTTTACGGAACTTGCAATCTTGCTGAATCAATATTGCCGAATCATTCTTGCCCTTCACTATCTTCAAAATATTCTATCTTGAGACCCTTCCCATTACACAAACTTTGCATTTGATACCTGCTTATCACTATTCAATCATGGAAAGCCCAACTGGCTGGGTGATCTATGGCATGCTCTGAATAATCTTACTGGTCCTTCCCTTCCCATTAGCTCACTTCTCAATTCCAACCTAATAAACACAATCATAAAGCGTGTATATGCACATGCCAAAAGTTTATTACAGAACAATGTTGATAATTCTTATCTACTACTGAACAGAAGACTTGAGCCCCTGCCAATGGGGGAGTTCACTACACTGTGGATTTCTGACACTACCTACGATTTAGACTTCTACTCCAAACCTATCTATAGCCCCTCCTGATAATCTCTTTGTTAAAAAACTTCAATTCCATGCCCATCTACTATGGCTCTCATTGAATCTCTTTGCTGACTTGACAACTATGTCCATGACAATTTCTCTTTTGAAGGGTCTCACTACATATTTATCAAACCATGATTCGGCAATTGCGAAACGGCTCCGCAAGCTCCTGATTCAACTGCCCACCATGGGACTACCGTCACGAAGGATGACGTGCTCGATTCCATTGGCAGGGAGTTGGAGTAGATGTATGCCATGGCGGGCTATCAAACATCTGCATCCGGCATGTTTGTGAAGGACCACGCCATGTATTTCTATCTATCTATCTATCTTAATGCCTGGTCCACTGGACAAAAACATACCACCCTATGTGAAATATAACATTTGACAATTGCTGATGACCTTTCCCAGAGGTGTCTCACAGGAATAAGCTCTGTCAACAAATTGAACTTATATCATTTGACAAATTCTAAAGCATATCTACCTTCACAGAATATCAAGGTAGGCGATGACAGATTCAGACCAAAAAGATGAGCAATGTTGGGGTGGCTAATGAATGGCAATCAATGATCGAAGTAGGAACTCAGATAATGAAACCCAACTGATTGGAAAAGAGCATAAAGTCGCGCTTCCAAGCCTATTAGATGTCAGAAAAAGCTCAAATATAGTAAAATGCCTGATGTACTATATGTCCATCTCTTCCACTGTAATTAACTGCAATGCATTTACCAATATCCTTGTTTCCAATGATATTTGCAAGGTACATATTTCTCTTGAATATCAATGCCTTAGCCAGTTTACCATCTCTGTACCAAAATCTTTGGACTGATACTTCACGTAAAAGACGAAGGTCACCACGGCGAACAATCTGATACTACATGACAATCATTCAAGTTGTTTGAATTTTTCTTGAAGTCATCGAATGAAAGAATGATACTCGCCTTGTTAGAGATTGACTGTCCGAGAGCTTCAGGCAACATCAAGGAATCTCCACCCTCATTAGATACTGTTGAAGTTACGCTCTCAACCGAAATAGGGGTTAAGGTTTGTACGGCCTGAGATGCCGTGTAAACTTAACCTTAATCAACTATACAGCTAAAATCTAGACCTTAAGTCTAGAATTATGGACACTTATAATAATAATGGTGTACTTTAGTAGTTACAGTATAATCGTACCATAATTACTCATATTCACGGATATGTTCTGGACCAATAGCGTTAATCACGCATTGAGTCAGAATGAGTCATAACACGAAATATGACTCAACTCTATGAGTCGGACAAAGTTGGCTCCACAATGACTCATATCTATTGATAGAACAATAGATCCGAGTCATATTTATTGTTAGTACAATACAATACGGAATATATCGGAACAGACAATAGAATACTTTTCTATTGTCCTACGTGTCTAGAATAGAACAATGGGAAAATATCCTATTGTTCCTTTAGATAGAAAGTAGTTCTCATCTATAGTAGAATAGTATAAATACTGGGTGTAGTAGCTACTCGAAATACAGAATCTTTCTTACTCTTATATCTCTCAAGCTCTACAAGCTACCTATAACTAACTAACTCAAGGTGAGTTCCCCTGCATGCTCACCAGTGCTGACAATGCTGCTTTCAACAGATACCAAGGAATTGACGTTTGTAATCTGGTTTCCGGCAACAAAGTTGACAGTTTTTCCGTGGATTGAGATATGGGAGGCCTGCTGGAAGAATGTCTGAGACATGAGTCCACAAGAAGGTGGGGAAAACAAGAGTTGGAATATAACCCACTTGCTTATTTTATCACATTCATCTGGGCTAAAATCTATTCAGTCATACAGAAATTTCACGTCAAGGAACCGAACCCACGCTCCATTCTGGTCCAATCTACCGGATTCTCTCAGAACAACATTAGCTGAATACAGCCCCAGGTGGCCTGGGACCCAACATAGATACATTACTTGTGTGAGAAACTACGGGAGTGGGTGGAAATACGGTAAGTTAAGATATAGGGAAATGAAAGGAATTCGAATTCAATGTAGAAGAGAAAAGAGAATGGACAAAGTAATAGATGCAAGACAGAGCTAGGTGCAAGAGTTGAAAATAAGGCATGAACACCAAGAAGGTGAGATCAATAAACTGGATGGCAGAAAATGGGAGGGTGGTTAATCTAGGTACAGCACATGCTGAAAGAGAGGAATGAGCGACTCACTCGCATGACACCCACCAAAAATAGCCGAAAGCAGTGAAATACGACAGTTGCACAGCGATGCGCAAGATTTTCGTATGCGGTACAGCGGTGCGAGTATTCTCACAGCGACGGGAAAAGAGGAAATGACATGTAACGTGATTGCACTAATCTGGCACTCATCGGTGAGTCCTAAGATACTAATCCAGGTAAATCTACCTTTTACCATCGATGTATGACAATGTTAGTTACTACACCTCGGTGAATTGCGTCTATTGAGCATGAAGAAAGTGTCATAAGGCAAATGTTGAATGGATCAATGCTACATAAAGCGATTATACGATCGTGATAATGGGTCCGTGAATAGGGGCCAGGTTGTGTATTTCATAGTTGGAATGACAAGGACCCCCGGTAATTAACTATTTTTGAAATTCTGAACCGAGTGGAGCGAATGACATGTGTACGAGAGTGGGTTTGAGCTCGGTGAAGCTCTTGGAAAGTAAAAACAAACAACAAAGTTCCTATTCCATCACAGGGAATCGAACCCTGGGCTATCGCGCTCGTGAAACCTTTTGGGAACGCATCCACATGAGAGGCGATAATGTTAGGCACTACACCATGATGGAGATACAGGAAGTAAAAATGGTTGCATTCGATCAGTTAGCTTTCTCGCTTACACTTTGTTGCTGACATTTCCGAACAAACTCTTCCCCACTCGTCTTTCACTTTTTCGCTCCTTGTCGTATCAAACGTCGAGCTCCATCTGCTCATCGTCCTTAGCGTTGGACTCATGGTACACCACCCATCTGACTCACGTCTCCTCAACAACTTATTCCAAATCCCTCTCCTCGCTGCTTTCTTTCTCCCATGCATCATATACTTCATTAACAGCCTCCGCAGCATCCTCATCACCTCCAACATCCCAAGTAATACTAGCAGCAGCGGGTACACTCTTACATGCGCGCGAAGCGTTTCGCACATATGCGAGACGGTAGACGAGTAGAGGGCCAAAGTTGCAAGAGTTGAAGGATTTGGAGAATGAAGTGGGGAAATGTGATGAAGGATAAGGAGATTCTAGTTACGAGGTTGATTAAAGCTACATAGTTCCAGAGCGGCTTCTAAGCACCAAACACCAGTCCGTCGACGAATTATGATACGACGGTGACCCCAGCGTCCACTTTGACCTTGTCACTTTCCTCGACGATGAGCTCGGATACAAAGCTTCAAGCTACTCAGGCGGAACTGCAGGCTTGTGAGGCGCATTTGGCGATGAAGGAGCACGAGTTGGACTCCCGAGAAGCTTTCTGACGAGCTTAGAGAGCCAAGAGGGAAGCAGCCATGGTGCTGGCAACGGAAGCAAGAATAGCAGGGAAATGCACTATGCCAATTAAGCAGTGAGTTCTTTCTTGAATGAACTTTTGTATCATAAATGTAGGAGTAAAAACATCAGAAATAATGTCACTATATCACGTCAGGGAACCAAACTTGAATGTCTAGAGGCAGTTCAAAGATTCAAAGAAAAAACATTTCTAATTAAAAGGACTTTCTTCAGCCTCTAACCCTCCCACACTTTGTATCAATGTCTTTTTCCTCATCGAGAGGATCACAGCTCCATCTGATCCAACCATAAGTACCATATCCATAAACAAGTTCATAATACCATCGGTTTAAGTCATATGGAAGAAATCCATGTAACCAAGAAGAACATTTCCGCACTTTCCTGTAGCAGCTCCAGCATTTGGACAAATTATCATTGAGCTCAATCTGTCTCTGTATAGTGGCATTTGGGACTAAAAATCCTGGTGTACACCGGTCTGGAAAGGTATGTGAATAATATTTTCCAGCGATCAGTATTAATTTTGCAAAAAATAGTCTTCAAAATCTTTGAAGAACATACCAAGGTCTTTGGAAGGATCTAAGCCTTCTTCGGCATCATACCACACATCTCCATCCTCATCTACAATATTTGAAAGAGTTCAATGGTGGTTTTCTATGTGACAGATATTTTACACACCTGGAGGTGGTTCTACAATGTCAATCAGAGGCAATCCATGCTTCCTGGCAAATTCTTGAGTCAGAGGATCATAACCTCTTAGTTCTTGAAATTGTCTTGTGGCTTCGTATTGATAATCTTCAAATATTGATGGCCGGTACCAAATGAGTTGGGCCAGTTCTGGAAAGCCAAGAGCCTCAGCTACCCATGATGGTATTCTGTGACCACCAGCTGGATCAAATGACCAGTAGTAGACATCATTCCCCCAGTTAACAGACATTCCAGGATAGTTTGGTTGTAATGCTTCTACCCCGCCTGAACCACACACGACTGCGTATGACCTATATCTATTCTGAAATAGAGTTAGAGTACGGTCTACGGACACGACGTGGCAGTAACAGGCAAGGTAAAAGGTAATTATGTAATCTGCCTACCGGCATAGGAACCCGGCAAATCTATATCCGTTACATACTCCCCCACAAAACCCAGAAAGGGTTTTCAATAAAAGGTAGTATAAGGTAAAAGAGCATGGAAAGAAATTAGAAGAAAAGAAAAGAAACAATCAAACCCCATTCCTAGCCAATGGATGAGGTGGCATAATAAGTAAGATCATGCAATTCCGATAGGCAGGTCCCAGGGATTTCTGCAGGTCACAGTAAACTTGTGGTGTGAGCACATCTGCAATAGGAATTGGTGCTAAGATCAGAGGTGTTAGTTTGGGAGCAGCACTAGGAGCACTTTTTGGATGCTCAGTTCCATGAGAGCGGCAGCGTGGGCGGTGACGAGTCCAGTGATGGCGTCGCTTCTTGCAGCTTGGAAATCTTTCCACACCGTAATCTGGGATATCATCTGCCCATGACACTGGTGCCAATTGAGCAATAGGTGGAGGTGGGTGAGGAGGAGTTGAACGTCGTGCAGGGATTACATACTTCAACTCAACTCGACTCATTTGAGGTGATAGTGCTGGTGGGGACAGTGGTACTGTATCTTTAGACACAGGGAGCACAGCAGAATGCTGTGTCTTCGACCTGGTCCTAGGAGCAGTTGGACGGGGAAAGGGAGATTGTGGGAGTCGCAATCCATATCCCTCTATGGTTGGGCATGAGCAGGAGGGGAGTAAACATATCTCAGACCCTACTTGAACCGCTGGCATCTCACTGGAGTTAGGTAGAAATGGTAGGTGTAAGGGCAACGCCTGGAAGCGTGAGGACTACACTCAACACAACTGCAGGTGGGGATCCAAAGAGTCTATAGTCAGTGCTATGTACATACATGAGGGGCATACTACGCACCTGCAGGTGGGGATCCAAAGAGAAAAACTCAAAGGACAACCACTGCAGGTGATGGGTATATATACTATCTACGACAGCACGAGAGAAAGAAGTAGTGAAAGTACAATGGAAGGAAGAACAATGGAGAACGAGGGAAGAAAACCATGAAAGAAGACAATAGAGACCGAAACAATGGGAAATGATGGGGGATGAGTACAAGGTAACGATGTGATCATGGGGCAGTGTGTAGAAATGGAAGCGTGATGATGGCGTGGGATAAAGGAAAAAGGTGTCGTACTGGAAGTCCCCTGACATTTACCCCTCTACTAGATCTGCAGCGACCTCGATGCAGAACGCCAGGTATTTGAAAGATCAGCCCTGGAAGTATGGATAGACTTTACCGCCTCTGGATACTTTGCGTAGAACTCTGCCACTGCATTTGGGGCATTAACCAAGTCTTCAGCCCTTTCCCAAGAGTCATCCTGAGGTCCATAGCCTTTCCAGCGAACAAAATATTGAAGTTTCTTCCAACGGCCAAACCTACGACTGTCCAGAATCTCTTCTACTTCCCATTCTGGTTCATCGTCTATGATTTCTGGTTCTGGTGGGGGGTCTGGTCGTCAGCCTGGAATGGGGTCCTCCTCATAACGGTCTAGCTTGATGACTGGGAAGACTGGGTGAATGAGTTTCATAGATGGTGGGAGCTTCAGCTTGTATGCTCCTTTTCCAACCTCCTGAAGAACGGTATAGGGTCCTAACCAACGATGACTTAACTTCTTGGAAGGTCTAGTGGTCCTGATGTCTGAACCATCCAACCATACCTTGTCACCGGGTTGAAAGACTGGGGCTGGGTCCCTGCAGCGGTTGTAGTACCGGGTGTATTCTTCTTTGGCTTTGGTAAGTGCAGCTTGAGCTTCCGTCCATCCAGACTTCAGGCGATCCACAAACTCGTTGACTTCTTCCATTTTGGAGCGTTGGACAGGTGGCTCAAAGCCCATCCTCGGGTTGCGGCCTGTGTCAACCATGAAGGGGGTTTGCTGGGTAGATGAGTGGACTTTGTTGTTATAGGAAAACTCTGCTACTGGTAAAAGTTCGTCCCAGTCATCTTGTAGGTGATTGACCCATTGGTGTAAATACCCTTCCAGTTCTTGGTTGACACGTTCTGTCTGGCCATCTGTCTGGGGATGATAGGCTGTTGAGAGCTCTTGTCTAACGCCTGCTAACCTACAAAGTTCATGCATGAAGTCAGCTACAAATTGTGGACCTCGGTCTGAACGTGCTGTCCTGGGCATTCCATGGTGTTTCCAGACTTCATGGAAGTAAATCCGAGCAGTTCCTTCGGCCGTCACTGTTGTATGAGTTGGAAGGAAGTGAGCGCGTTTTCCTAGCATGTCAATGACCACCATAATAGTGTTGTATCCATGTGCTTCTGGTAGTTCAACAATGAAGTCTAGGGAGATTGACTGCCAGGGTTCAGTTGGTGTATCTGAAGGTACCAGCTGTCCAATGGGAAGGCGATGTCGTGTTTTCGTACGCATACAAGTTTCGCAGGTCTTAGTGTACTGACCGATGTAACGGGACATTTGAGGCCACCAGTAGTTGCGTGTAACAAGCTCCAGAGTCTTGAAACGACCTGGGTGACCTGCGACTCTGGTGTCATGATGTTGCGAGACGATGCGACAACGGAGGTCATGGGAAGGGGGAACATAGATCTTGCCTCGGAAATACAACAAGCCTTCATGTTCATCCCATTCCGCACTTCAGATTGAACGGGTGTGGGACTTACGTAGCTCCTGGACTGCACGCATGACAGGTTCTTCAAGTTCCTGTTGGCGAATAGCAAAACGGACATCCTTCAGGATCTCTACTTCCTCGCCAACCAGATCTAGGGCAGAGGTGATGGCTGCAATCGAGAAGACTTCAGGTTTGAGGAGGATAATGTCTGAATTGTCATCTGCACCAGTGCCATGATCTGCCCTACGGGATAGGGCGTCTGGTTTACCCATTGTGCGACCTGGGCGGTGGTGCAGAGTGAAGTCAAACCTAGACAGAAACAGTGACCAACGTGCTTGTCTTCTGTTTAACTTCTTGGCGGTCCTGAAGTACTCCAGATTTTTATGGTCTGTCCAAATCTCAACAGGGAACTTTCCTCCTTCCAGGAAGTGTCTCCATTCCTCTAGTGCACGGATGATTGCCAGCATCTCTTTGTCATGAATCTCATAGTTCCGTTCCACTGCATTGAGGCTTTTAGAGTAAAACGCCACTGGGTGCCATTTGTCATCCTCTGGGGATTGTTGTGACAGGACAGCTCCTGTAGCATAGTCGGAACTATCCAATTCTAAACGGTAGGGGCGAGAGTCAT